AGTGCCATCGCTTCCAGGAAGCTTATCCTGGTCAGCCCCGCCTCCAGGAAGCTCTGTCTCCCAGTAACTCTCAGCATGTCCTCCTTTGTGTAGATCCATCCAACAAACACTCATCAATAGATGCTCAGCTGTCTCTGTGGATGGAATTAGTTTCCTTCACCAGACTGCGAACTCTCAGAAGGCAGCCGCTATAGGGAAACAGAACCCTTTCCTTGGCATTTATAACTATTGTTACTCATCTTTTACTGTGCATATATTTGATCAAATCTAATTGCAGACTCCTCTAGAGATGGCACCAGGCCTGGCACACTGGCACTAACATCCCACATTCATAAAATATCTATTCAATTGGTTGGCTGGTGACTGATGGCAGAATTTTCTAAAGGGGAGGGGTAGATATAACCTGAGAATGCCAGTGTAATTGTTTTCTTCCTCTGTGCTTCCATCATCTTTGGAGGTGTGTGTGGGGGGGTGGGGTGGGGGGGGAGACATAGAGAGGTGGAAGAACGGAAAAGGACATTAGCTGGTTCTAAGAGATAAGTAATGTCATTCCTCTTTCAGAGATGAGGAAACTGGGGGTAAGCACCCAGTCCCAGGTCAGGCAGCTGGTAACGGTCAAAGGGAGGAGGTATGCAGAAATCAAATAGTTCGTCCCAAATCATGTATCCAGCAACTCCATAGCTCACACTGCATGGCATCACACAGCATCCCATCTCAAGGGCAGGGCACTTCCCTAGGAAATATGGCCTCATACCCGGCCTAGCCCCTTGATTTTCCTACCCCAGCCACCTGCACCCTCCAGTCACCTGCTGAGGAAGGTGGGGAGTGGGAGGGAAAGAAAGTGAGTGGTTTTCTGGTGTTCAGACAACAGTGGATGGCACCCTCTCCTTTAGACCCCCAAGCTCCTTTGCCTTGCTCTTGCTCCCACATGGGCCCAGGAACATGCCGGCTATGCAAAGCCAAGGGGAAACGCGCAGAAGGTGCTGGTCCCTAAAAGGAACATTTGAAGGGCATTCTGGGGAAGGTCCAGGACATCCCACCATGACCTCCAATGAGGCCAAGAGGCAGCTCTGAGGGGTGCAACCTGAACTTCCTCTGGGCTTCGCTGCAGTTAGTGTGTATCTGTTCTCCCCAGCCTGAACCTGCTGTTATGATCCCTCATGGAAACATAACCCAGAGCATCACGGTTTTGGACCTCCACGTTGTTTTGCTGGACTGATCTGGATGCAGCATAGGGAGTGGGGAGAGCAGTCGGTGGTCTGCCTGGCGTGCAAGACAGCAGGCTCCTTCCCACGTCCCTGGAGAGTGCAGGGCACCCTACGTGGAGAAGGAAGAATGATAAGGAGGCGCACACTAAGGCCTGACTCTTAGCTTCAAGGTGACACCCACCCACGCCTCTAGGCTTGGGCTAAAATCAGAGAGAAACATTCCAGTGTCTGAGCCTGAGGTGAATAAGAGAGGTTACCCCAGTCTGTGGTGTGGAGGGGTGGGGACCATGAGGGTTCCCAGCCATCAAACTTTGTATCAGAATCACCTGATTTGTTTGTAAAAAATGCAAATGTGGGGGCCTTACCCCAGATACTAAAATCTGAAGATATAGCCTAGAAACTTCTCCATCTAATAAGTTCCCAGGAGATTCTTAATTAGCCAGCCCTCATCTAGCAACTACTCGAAGTTGCTCCCAATCGCACAAGGCCCACCATCGGAAAACTGGGTCTGCAACTTGTCTGGGAGGTGGTGTGGGAAGGGGCATCAACATGTTCAGTGTATAAACCAGGAATCTTGACACTGATCTCAGAACTATTATGAGGATTCAATGAGAAAATGTAACTGAAATATTTAGAAATAATATTGCATTTTATCTAAATTAGTTACTGTTTTTGGAACAAAGCTGAGGCCCAGAAGTCAACGTCTATTGCTGCACCTCCCTAGGCCAAGAGAGGGCATCTCTCCACTTGAGATTTTTAAAAAGCTTGCCTTGGGCAGCCTTCTGCCCTGCCTGCCTCTCTTCCTCCAGCATTCTGTTCTCTTCGGGAAAGACCTTGAATTTCACCCCTTTATCCTGCCCCCTTGTCTTTCCCCAGAATGACTCTCTCAGCTTCTAAGATAGCAGTGAGCTCTCCTGTGTTGCGATCCCACCCTGCAGAGGGCATTCTGCCAGCCCGAGGGGAGAGTGCATTTATTTCTTTTATGCTTTAAGATGTTATGTGCTGCCTATTGTTTTAATGTGGTGCATAATTACAGAAACCGCTCTGAAAATCTGTGTATTTGATCTGTGCTTTATTACACCCAGAATATCCCCCAATTCTTTTTTGTCTACATGAAGCAGCTTAAAATATACTTTGGCATCCTTTATGTCATCTTGAAATTGAGTAGCCAATTCTTACTGTAATGAAAATACGTATGCGCCTGCCCGGTGATATACAACACTACACTCTAATTACGGCTGTGCTTTAATTAACCTGAATTGAAGAGTGTTATCATTAAACTGCTGGTAACTTTGAATTATGGCTTTTCTTTAATTTAAAGTAGAAAACACAGATAATTAAGCCTCTAGATAATCAAATGCTTGAGGAGAGCTTCAATGTTTTGGGATGTTCCTAAATCTCATTAAATGTCCTTCCTTTATTGATTATTTCTACCTCTGCTGTATCGTTGTGTTAAACGAATAATGGCACTAAGTTGAACACATTCTCATTCACATCAGACGGTTTTTGTTTTATTGTGTTCCAGGCTCTGTACTGAACAAATACTAAATTCTCTGACAACAAGGTGTGTCGGAGGGATTCGCTCCTCCTCGGGACATGTTCTAAACTTGAAAATCAATCGAGGGAAGGATTTTCAGCAGACACCAGTGTCCGGCTTTTGAGCTGGCTCCGAAGGGCAGTGAGGTTTCATGCTGCCCCGTGGGTCAACAATGCAGGCTCCGGTGTCCGCAGGCCAGGACTGGGCTGGAAATGCAGACCTGGCCTGGGATATATGGTCAGGGACTGGAGGGCCTGCACGAAATCTCCCCTACAGCAAACCAGAGCCAGTAGCTCTCAGGGGAAATGCAAGTCCTGTGTTGATCATCAGATTTTCAGGAGAGGCCAAAACCTACTTTTTATGTAAAATACTTCTATTTTGAAATTCTGGCAATTAACTTTTTGTAAAAAATGAAATACTGCGGTGGGCAAATTCATGGTCACCTTTAGCCGCTTCCAGGGCTAGCAGCCCAACCCCTACAGGTCAGCATGCCTGTGCTCTGATTAGGTTCCCAGGAGCAGCAGAGAAGCAGGGGGAAGGCAGGCTTTCAAGGGCGCACTCATGTTCGAGGTAAACACAGGTTAAGCCAGGGAACATCAACCACCAAGGAAAGGGCTTGGAAGACTCCCTGCCAATGCCTCCCATGCCATAGGGGCCCTCAGCCCTGCGGTGTGCCCACACTACCCCTCCTCCAGGCACCGGAGGCCACAGCTGCTGTCCATAGAGCCAGCCCCTATTGGAAGTCCCAAATTCTCAGCACTTCCTGTGCTAGGCGGGCCTGGCTCCAAGGTGGAGAAAGTCCCCAGGGACGGCCTCAGTGCTGCAGGGCCAGTGCCTCTGAACGGTTAACGTCTTTCTGTTTCAGAGAGAAATCGCTTTCAGAGACAGGAGACCATGGGAGTTACAACAGGGCATCCATTCTCAGAAAATAACTTCTTCCGAATCAATTACCTATTCACTTTTCCAGTCCATTTAGCATTTAAACTTTCGCATAGAGACAGGGTGAGAAATTTCAGTCAACAGCCAAACCACTCTGGATTGCTCAGGGTCTAGGCCAGGGACAGACAGAGCGCACCTGCTGTGCTCACTGACAGGCGTCTCCAGGTAAACCCCAAGCTCGGCCCCTCCCCACAGTGCACAGAACAGGACTGAGCCAGGAGAAGCCGAGAGCCCCCTCCTCAGATCTTGCTTTCCAGAGGGTCAGTGTGGCGTCTAGGCAGGCAGACAAGCACAAGGGAGCAGCTTTTCTTCCAGCGGCTCCCCAGATTCCCGTTTCTTCCCAGTTGGTATTAGTGAGACAGCTTATCAAATCCCTTGCTAAGGGGTCAATGGGTCAGGCTGAATGTTTCAATGCTTGGTGCCTTCACAGGGAACAAAGCCCTTGTTTCACTTAAACCCAGCATCTGAGATCCTAAGGGGGGGGATCTGAGGCATCGTCCTGGTGGTGGAAGTTTCTTGGGATCCTGGACACTGAAGTTCCTAAGGTCACACCCCTTAGGTGACACCTGTTCTATCTATGGCTGGGGCTGCCCTTGGCTGCCCTTGTCAAATCCGTCCTGCTGAGCCAGGGTCAGGAGAAGCTGAGCCTTCCTACTATCCTATATAATTAAGAGTTAATATGCTAGTTAGACTGAACAGCAGGACGACCATCCGGATGACCTTCCAGATGAAACCGGGCTGCGAGGGTCAAACCCCTTGCACGGACTTCATGCATCAGACCTCTACTTGTAACATAACAGTTGTCCATGTTGGGGACTTTTTCAAGGTCTCTTTCTGGTACCTGTGGCTGCGCATTTCCTCAGCAAATCAAGAAGGCACCTGGCACAGTGGCTTCTCTGATGTCTCTATGACCTGACTTAAGTGAAAGAGGTTAAAAATCCTTTCATCAAGGGGCTAGCAAGATTTGCTAGTAAAATCAAAGAGACTTGGGTTCACACCTCCCCTTCATAAATGCGCCTGCATCACGGGAGCATATTTCAAGATCTGCAGGAAAATGCAGTTCCTAACTTAGTACAAACGATGGACCACGCCTGAGATCCTCAGGACTGGAGGGAAAAGTATGGCCAGCAGAAGTCCCCCAGGCAGAGACCACTCAGCGACCCACCTTCCCATTCACTGCCCACGGCTGAGCCCATAGGACACAGTCCCAAAGTGTCCAGTGTCCCCACTGTGCTGGGCAGAGGTGGGCATCTTTCCTGAGGGGGGCCCAGTGAATATCCCTGAGGCCCGAGGAGCATATGAGTGTGGTCACTTACTCACAAACAGTAGGGAAGGACAGACCCACGAAGGCACTGGAGAGATACTCTGTGTACATTTCATTGGAGACTCCTTCCAAGTAGTATTTCTGCCACGTGTCTTCCTCAATCTGAAGGAGAAGAGCAAGAGGAGGGTTTGAGATATTGGCAGCAGGCTATACAAGGAGAACTTGAATTCTACCATTCTGGAGACAAATGCATGCACTGGGTACGCGATGGTGACCTTCCTCAACAGCCAGGAACACAAACTGGTCGTCCAGGTGAAGCTTTCCATGGCCTCGAATCCACAGGCTAGAAGTACGTCTCCTCTAAAGCACCACTCCTTTTTCAACCTGTCGATTCCCAATGGTGTAGAGGCATGGGCTCTCACTGCCGTATGGGTGGGCAGGTAAACCGATGTGGTTTTTTGGGGAGAGCAATTTTACAACTGTTATCAATATTGATAAAAGTCCACATTCTCTTACACAATTCCATTTTAAGTATTCATAGCAAAGATACACGGAGGCAAGTATATAAAGACATATGTATAAGAACATCCTTTCTATTCATGAAAAATTGGAAATAACCACAAGTGGCATGTGTGAAATACAAAGAATGAAAAGGTATGATGAAAATGTATATGTGAATATAGAAATTATGTAAAAGGGCACATTAAATAGTGTGTAAAGTCTGATCCTGTGTTTTTTTAAATACCCTATAATTATCTGAATGCTTATAAAGCCATGGGAAAACGTAGAAAGCTTTATACCAAAACACTCATGGTTGTTATATCTGAGATATATAATGACACTTTTTCTCTATAGATTTCCCTATTGTCTGAAGGCTTTTACAATGAGCATATTTATATTACAATGAAACAATACACCTATTTCTACTTTGAGGGGGGAGATTTCCCCAACCCCATACTGAATGCCACAAAGCGTAAAATGTAGCTTCAGAGAGGTCTTACCCCAATTTTCATTAAAATGTGGGGGGAGGAGGGGAGGGCGTTGCCTGATTAATCAAGTTCAACTGGTTTTCCCAACAACCTTCTTCATGCTAAGAATTTCTGAAATTTTTTTTTTTTACCTTGGAATCAATCTTTAAAAATTATAAAGTGAATAACAACAAGGATGCTTAGCCACTCTGGGAGTTTGGGAATCTCATTGCTCCCCATGCAGGCAGGCAGGCTGTGTTCTTGGGCCTCTGTGAGATGCTGCCTCCGAAGTTCATTACCACTGGAGGTTTCGATAAGGGGCAGGATGAGAGGGACTTCCCAGCCAACCAGAAGTGGTTCTTAATAATTTCTTGTGCAGATGTCGATAGAAAAGGCATCTTGCCGATGGTTCAAGGTAAGTTAACTAGGGAACTTCAATGTTTGAATTTGAAAGAGACTTGGAAACAGAGGGAAATGAACACTTACCACCTACTTGGTGACACCATGGAATACAAAAAAAAAAAAAAAGCAAACCAGAAATAATTTAGAAATAAATTGAATGCTCCCTGCTTCTAGGCTGTTTGCCTGCTTTGTGCTCAGTCTGGGTGATTAGATTGTGTTGGTTAACCTCATTAGTGGGAGCTGCTTCTAACCTACTCCCATGCGTTCCACATTAGCCATGCACCACTGCTGGGTGCTGGCTGTTTATCTGCAAATCGGTCTTCCCCAGAGTGGGGTCTGTTAAAAACAAGGCACTCAACCATTTCTACTGCTAAACTGTATGATTTTAAAAATTAGCTGCAATGTGTTGAGCCTAAGCACAAACTTCCTAATTTCCTCAAATCATAAGATTTCAACTTTTTTTCTCAAATAAAAGGTATGCCTGATTTTATAAGCAAATATCATTAATTCCAACTAACCTGAAGAAAGCCCACTCTTTAGTTAATAATTTGAAATATAGAACATTTGGGGCACTATATCATCAAAACGTTTCATTGGTAAATAAGATAGCATATGAGGAAATGCCAATGATAAGTCCTCATAGAACTTTATAACAGCAAATCATATTCTAATAAGAATTTGGCTTGTTCTTTTAGGACATTTATTTATTTATTTAATCATCACCTGGGAATGTGTTTATTGGTTTGAGAGAGAGAAATATCAGTGTGAGAGAGAAACATCTATCCTTTGCCTTCCATATGCACTCCCCAATGATTGAACCTGCAGTCAAGGTGTGTGCCCTGACCGGGAATGGAACCCACAATCTTTTGGGGTAGAGGATAACACTCCAATCAACTAAGCCATCGGGCCAGGGCAGGGACATTCCTTTTATAATGTGTTCCACATCTTGATAATTTAAATATTACAGTGAGTTTCAAAAATAATGAGATGGACCTTTATCTCAGTCGTTTTTTATTATTGCTGGTGATTCCTCAATTAATGTGGTTTCCATATTGTCCATTTAGGTATGGTCAGGAATTTCATGCCTCTGTGTCCTAATGGAACTACTCTTTGGACCAAATTTTATTGTAGGTTAGTCACTAAACTTTTGAAAGTAGAAACAGGTTCTTTGTGCAACAGTATTATGCGTGTTTGTTTTGAACTTAGCAAAAATCATTTGTTTCACTGATTTGTTCATTCAGCAAATATTTGTTGAGTATATTAAGTATCTTAGGACCTGTTCTAGTTACGGATAAAATCAATTTAGACCAGTATTTATTTCCCCATATTTTTTCTTTGCCAGAAAAAGCACCAGCTATATCTAGTTATGACATATTTGACCAGAAACATCTGACTTTTACTGACTTTCTACGCATTTCTTTTTCTGCAAGTCTGCCTTTGTGGCTGATTTGAAATGCTTAAGGACCAAAAGCCAAAAAAGCTGGAAAAAATATACCTAACTTTCTGGAAAGCAAAATGCCTCTTGTTATGCAGACTCTCAGGTGTATCTACAGTGAGGATATGGTAGCAGTGAATTCTCGGTATACAAGCAGAGGAGTCTAAATTCATAAACCAGGTTTCCACGTCTTTAACACTGTTTCCCTAGGAATGGGTCAACATGTTTTCTGGTTTCTGATAAATGTTTCACACATAGAGAAAAGAAACAATACGCCCCCCCAAAAAACAAACAAACAAACAAAAAAAAACACTTAAAATGGTTAAGATGGTAAATTGTATGTTATATATTCTTATCACAATTAAATTTGTTTAAAAACCCTATGTACCACATAAGAACGGAAGAATCAGTAATTCACTACTATGGAGATGCTTTAATCCTCAGGGGCAAGAATGACAAGTTGTGATGGAACAAGGACAGGCAGCAGCAGTTCTATCAGGAGAGCCTGACACTGCAGTGTGTCACCGACCCAGACAGGAGAACCTCACTCCTCATCCCCAGGCCAGGGTATCAATGGTAACTTCTTATTCAGGTTTGCCTTTCTGTGTCTCAAGCATGGCATCTCTGACTTAGTGTGGAAAAGCAAAAGTGAAAAAAAAAGTGAAAGTCGCTTTTATCTTTGTTAGCAGCAGTGAGATACATCCTCAGGAAAGGAAAAGTAAGTGTAAAATATGTCTAGTTTAAGACACCGTGGTTAACACAGAGGAAAGGCCATTGTACAAAGAGATCTAGAGAGTGTACGGTGAGTTTCATCATTATAACAACACTAAGGCACAGAGAGGTTAAGTAGCCCACTGAAGGTCACAAAGCAATGAGTGGGACAAACAGGATTCAGAGTTCATGTTCTTTCCTTTTTTGTCATATATATATATAATTGATTTCAGAGAGAAAGGGAGAAGGAGAGAGAGATAGAAACATCAATGATGAGAGAGAATCATTGATTGGCTGCCTCCTGCACGCCCCCTACTGGGGATCAAGCCCACAACCCCAGGCTTGTGCCCTTGGCCAGAATCAAACCCAGGACCCTTCAGTTTGCAGGCCGATGCTCTATCCATTGAGCCAAACCAGGTAGGGCCAGAGTTCATGTTCTTAATCACCTACCATATTACCTCTTGCTAGAAATGACAGGGTCAATATAGGAAGGCAGTGATGCTAAAGTTCAGGAGCCAGGAAAGACTTTCCGTATATAAGCACCTCAGGGGGAAGTATCAGATCAGAACACCCTCCAAGATTGAAAATCCTAAACCCTGGAGCCCATGACTTTGGGGGAGGTCAGCAGGAGTAACAGTGATCTTCAGGCTGGAAACTTCAGGCTTCCTCTCAGAATATGACAGCATCTCTTCTATTCTATACAATGGAACCATCCCAGCCTCCAGTTCTTTCCTAAAATAGTACATGCTGTTCTCCACATCTGTGTTGTCAATGTATTTTTAACTGCAATGTGAACACTTCCCTGCAGAAAAATGAAGGAATGGGACCTAAACGACTTAGGGAAAGGCGCCAAAATTAATTTGCCAGTCATTCAGCAATCTGTCAAAGGCAAAACACTGCCCGAGGCAGCAAGTTGTCCTCCGCCTGTCCCATCAAACTCCAGCTGTTCCAGAGAAGCACCTAGAAGATGCGTGGGTGACCAGTGCATCAAAAACCCACAGACTCCTCGGGGAGAAAAGGAATCGAGCCACTGGCCAGCTCGTCTACACTTCTCACGGTCTTATTCATCGGCCCTTCATTATCTAATTTTTCAGCCAGTGAGTTCCACCCCCAAGAAAATGGCTGTCCACCAATCCATGGGCTGATGGCTCCGTCATCAAAGGCACCTTCCAACTGAAACCATCCGCCTTGGCTCTGGGGGAAGGAACACCTTCTTGATTCCAATTCTGCACATGTTACTAATGATCGGTCGGTAATGACACCTTTTCTATTTTATGCTTTCCCTGATTAGCATGAAACTATGTTTCTCTAATGTTAACAGCCCCGGTGAATGTGGAAAATCAACCATCCTGGCTGGGCTGCGTTACAAGCATCGCGATTTCTGTTCCAGCAATGAGTCAGAATAACCGTGTTGATTACAGCCAAATAATTTTGTAAAAGTCTATCCCTACCTCCAGAGTCATCTAAATAATTCCAAAGATGATCACATTCCAATCCGTGTTTAATTGAAAACAAGCACACTGTTTTAATTCAAATATATGTTCTATTGTGTACTTTAAAAACAATGAACTGAAAGGAACTACGAAAACCAATGACCGTTATTTTAATAGCTGCAATAAGAAGAGGTGAGTTGTAACGCACACGCG